CACAGAGAAATATTTGAAGAATCAGAACTAGTAATAAAAAATGACAAACTAATAAAAATTCAAGAAAATTCTTATTATTCAACAGAGGAATGGATTGCAACCGGATGTAGACCAGAACAAGTAAAATACTTAACAACCCTAGGACTATTCATATTTGAGCTAACAGACAAAATACCTAAAAATACAGAACCAGAAACCCTGAGACTATGGAAACTTTACTCATTAAACCAAATTGAAGAAAAAAATATACTGTTAGTACCAATGGTACACCAAAACCTTTATTACATATTTACGACAATCAAAGATTACACAATGCTCAAAACAATCAATAGAGTAAAACAAGCACACCAGAAATGAATAATAAATCCTAAAAAAGTATTCACTCAAATACTAAGCGAGGTAGACTCTGAATATAAAAAAGAAGAGATAACGCCCCTAACAGAAAAGGAATTAGAAAAAGTCTTAATAAACAAAGAACTATAAATGAACTAGAACAACTTATTGTTCATATATTGGTTTAAACAAATTGTAAAAATTATCACTAAAATAAAAAAACATTTGCATACTTTTAAAAGCCCAGATACAGAAAAAAATAGCCCCGTTGAAACGAATAGAAAAACAACTAAATAATTTAGAACACCTAAAAGGTTTGGGGTAGAGTAAAAATATATAAAGGGTGTATACGATACTTAATCCAGTTAGTATACCAGGCTGATACTTTTGAAGAGAGAATTTGTGTAATATTGTTTTGAGTATTAGCTATTGATGCATTGTTAACTAATATAGAAGATGAAGTATGTATTAGTTGAGGTTGGGGTCTTGAGCTACAGTACGGTATCCAAATATTGGTGTATAATTGTTTGTTAAGATGTAAAAGGACTTGTATAGAAAGTGAAGTAGCAATTTGTATTGGAAAGGAAAGAAGCTCATAATTGATACTTTTTATAAGCAGAAAAAGCCCAAAGAAAAGCAACCTACTTGCATTATCCCAGAAGACTTTGAACTATATGAGCAGGAATATTTAATACCTCAAGAAGTCTATGCCTTTACCACAACAAATGAAGGAGAGGAAAGATGAACTATCTCTTGACCTCTTGGAATTATTAGAAACTTACCTGTCAAAATTCAAGGTAGAACTATTCCTATTGATGTAGAAGTAGTACCTGCTACCCCATACTTGTTACTTTTGAGAAATAACTGGTCTAGAAAAGTTGAAGCAAACTATAACTGGAAAAATTATCAATATACTATGTCTAGGTGAGCCTTGGCCACTCTGGTAGGTTTAGGCCGCAAATAAGTTTCTAGGTGTACTTAGTTATATGTCTGAGTTCTTATTCTTAGCAATAAGCTTAAATTATAAAACCTTTTCCAATCATGTAAAAAGTTTTCATTAAGTTTAATAAAGATAAGAGCATGGTCTCACCTTTAACATTAAAAAAAAAAAAAAAAAAAAAAATTTTTGAATTTTTTAATAATTTACTTAAATTTGTATCAATTCTTATTATTTCATTTATTAATAAATTTTCTGCAATAAATTTTCTACTAGGTGGTGTATAAGCAGAGTGAAGTTGTTTCAAAAATTCAATAAAAAATGGATGCTCAATAATTCTCCAAGGTATTCCACAACATACAAATGCTTTAATAAGTGCTCTATTTATTAATTTAATATATTTATCTGGTATAGCTATACTTTCTAAAAATTCATCTAAACTTATTTGTTTATTTGAATGCTTAGTTCTACTAATACTTGATGTTTTTTTATAAGATTCAACAATATATATAACTGCTTCTTTTACTTCTTTAAAAACAAGTACACAGTTACTAATAATATGTTTTTCTATTAATGATGGTTTTCCAGGTAAAATTAATCTTTCATATGCTTTACAAATTGCTTCATAATGGCCTGAATTATTCAGTTATTTGCCTCTATTATAAAATTTCAAAATTGGCTTTAATAGATAACTAACAATAGTTTATTCATCAATGTGTTTAACTTTTTTAGATTCTGACATATTAAAAAAATAAAATATTAAAAAAATTTAAGAATAAAAAATATTTATAAATATTATTATAAATTTATTAAATAAAATTTTGTAAGATAAGTATTAAGGATATAGATTTTTAAAGAACTTTAAAGAAATTTTATTTTTAAAATCAGTAAAAACATATTTTTACATGTCAAAAATCATGCATTTTTATACATGTTTTGTTTTTTTAATCTTCAATTACTATCTTTTTTGTAAGATTATTAATATTATTATCATGAATCTTTGGCAAGATTATCTCTTGTTATGCTGATTAATCATGATCACATCATGATAACATAATATTAGAATGGTAATATAGAATAATAAAGGCGGTTGATATTTTTATACCCATGCAAATCACTTTTTTTTTAAATCTTTAATCAAAGATATCTCAATGACTATCTGACCAAATTCAATGAACTTTTTTTATCTAAATTTGACAAACTTGTAAAATGTTAACAAAAAAAATTCATCGAATTTAGTCAGGTGGTTATCGAGATACCTTTGATCAAAGTTAGAAAAAATTTTGTCATGGCTATTATTTTGATAGATGTTTAGATTTTTTTTAAAAATTTGATTGAAGGTATCCTGATGACTACCTGACAAATTTGATGAATTTTTTTTTATTTGAATTATATAGACTTGTAGAATTCTAATAAAAAAAAACACATTAAATTTAGTCAGGTGGTCATTGGGATATCTTTGATCAAAATTTTTGAAAAATCTAAACATCCATCAAAATAATAGCTGCAGCAAACTTTTCTCTACTTTGATCGAAGATATCTCGATAACTATCTGACTAAATTTGATAAATTTTTTTTTTAGAATTCAACAAATCTGTATAATTCAAATAAAAAAAAATTCATCAAATTAGGTCAGGTGGTTGCCAGGATACCTTCAATCAAAGTTTTAAGAAAATCTAATCATTTATCAAAATAATAGCCGTAGCAAAATTTTCTCTAACTTTGATCGAAGGTATCTTGACAACCACCTAACTAAATTCGATGAATTTTTTTTTGTTGGAATTTACTGTTTATAATTATTCTTTATTATCATTTTGATATCATATTAACATATGGGATCACCTCTAGTTATCATAATGCAATCACAATTGATCAGCATAATGAGGAATGATCCCACATGAGAGCGTGGTGGTTATTCCAAGAACAAGAGACATTATTACTTTATTTATTTTTATTTATTTATTTATTTAATGTCTCTTGTTCTTGGTATAACCATCACGCTCTTACACAGATCCTTGGCATGATTATTCCTTATTATGCTGATCGATTATGGTCACATCACAATGTCTAAGGGTGATCCCATATGTTAACACGATATCAGAATGATAATAGAGAGAATAAACAAACAAATTATTGATATTTGGGCAGTTTCGGGGTTTCGGTTGAGGTTTCGGGTTTCGGCTGAGGTTTCGAGTTTCGGTTAAGGTTTCGAGTTTCGGATAAGGATTCGGAAGCTATAATCCGAAACCCGAAACTTTCGGAATGGCCAAAAAAGGTTTCGGTGCCATCTTTGGTATAGGTAGAATAGGTATTATTTGTATTTATTTTCATATTTATATTAAGATATGCAATGCAAAGTAATACAAAAACTTTGAGTACGTACGTACGAAATTATGGTATTGTCCGACTTTTAACGGTTAAAAGAATGTTGGATGCTAAATTCAGTAACTTTTACTTTATAGCAATATAGTAATATTATAAAATGAATTATTTTCTTTTTATTATAGTGTTTAACTTAGCACATTATTTAGTTACTTGTCAAAATATACCTAGTCCTCGATGTGAACAGGCTAGTTCACTAATTGGTACTAAACTTTATTTTTTTGGAGGAGGATTGGAAACATATATTAGTAATGAAGTATGGTATCTTGATTTATCGAATTCATTTAACATAACTACACCACCATGGCATCAAGATGTTGGAATGCCAGTAGGATTTAATCTTGGTAGTTCATGTGTCAGTCCAATTGATAGTTCATCGGTTTTTATAATTGGTGGAAGGATGTTTGTTCCAAATGCAAATACTTATTATTATCTTTCATCGGTATACATTTTTAATTCTAAAACTTCTCAATGGACAACACCAAATATTAATGGATTTAATTCTAACTTTACAACTCGCGATGAATTTCAATCTGTTGTTGATAATAATGGGAAAATTTTTATTATTGGAGGAAGAAGTGGAGATATTAATAATAGCATTTTTTATAATGATATAAATATACTTGATATAGCTACTATGACTTGGACGACAAAAACTCAACTTCAATCTGTCCTTACTTATTCTGACTATACTGCAACATTATTGCCAAATGGCCTTATCGTTTATTTGGGTGGACGTCAGGGTTCGAGTTTAGTTGTAAATTATGCTAATATGAGTCAGGTAAAACTTTGTTAACTATTATTTCTTTAGTTTTTAATACATATTTTTTTTGAAATTTCCCTTAAATGTTAAACGCAGATTCGAGTATTTGATACAACATCTTATACCTGGTCCATAAAAGTATGTAAATGATTATCGTTATTATTTCCAATAATTAAAATAAATGTTTTTATTTAGGTTTCTAGTGGTTCTAATATCCAATCTCGTATCGGACATTCAGCCGTTTTAAGTATGCTATATATATATATCGATATACTATAATATTATTAAAAATCAAATTATTCTTCTGTCTTAATTAATACCTTCAATACCTTTTATCAGCTCAGAATGGTGATATAATTTTATATGGTGGTGCAGCACCTGCAGCATACAATGACTCTATTTATACAACTGTGTTTCCTGATATTGCAGTATTGAGTACAACTACTTGGGTGTGGTCTATTCCAACTGTTTCTCAAACAAATGCTCCATCATTGCTCGCATTCCATTCTACTACATTATTCAAAATTTATATGATTGTTGCTTTTGGTAATTACTTTATATTTTAAATAATACTAAAACACACCAATGGTGGTCAATTCTATATGTATTTATGATAATTCACAATTAAAATTAGAGCTATGGAAGACTTTATTTAGAGCATCACGCATCAATCAATTAACTAGTTTCTAGGATGTTTTTTAAAAATCACTGGTGTGTTTTAGTAATCTCGTATTTACAGCATTTCCTAAATTTACAAAATTTACAAAATATTTTAATCTTTACATATTCAGGTGAAAATGTAGAGACGAGTTTGTTTTCAAATAACATTTATGCTCTTGACATAAATAGTTACACCTGGGTCACTAGAATAAACACAAATATTACAACCAACCAGTCAACTACCGGGACTACTGCTAACACTGCTAACACACAATCAGATAATGATAAACTATATATTGGAATTGGAATTGGTATAGGTGGCATTATATTTGTTGGAATATTGATTGCTGGTGGATTTTTAATTTATAAAAAACAGAAGGAAGATACAGAAATTATGGTTGGAATACCAGGATCTATGGATGAAAGAATACGTGAAACTCACACGCCTATGGCAATTTAAATTATCCCTCTCTGTATATGAAAATAAACAAATTACTCTTCTCTTATATTAGTTAAGGATTTTTTCCTTCAATATAATCATTAATTTATTGATAAAATTAAATAATTACATGGACTATTATATGTTTTATCAATATTAGAGACATTACTATTGTTCTTTGTCATTTTACAATTTTACATTATTTAGAAATTGGTAGACATTATTAAGCATCATCATTAAATAAATGTAATTGCTACCTTGATTATAAAACTTTAAATTTTTAAAGAAAGATAATTGGTAAATCTAGAAATTGTACTTTTGATTTTTTTTTGGTCAGATGAAATGATAAAAAAGAGATATTCAATGAAGATAAATGAGGCTCTACAAATACAAGTCCATGCTAAAACTTTATAATAACATATAAATAAAGCTTGAAAAAAGCAGATTTCAAAGAGTTCATTATAATTAATGCGTATTAATATTCAACTAATCTAAACCGAACTTGCGATATTCATAATGAGAAGATTCAACTTTTTAAAACTTTCTGACTCTGGTAATCACAATTTCTTTTCCAAAAACTACAGCAAAACTAATTGTCTGTTACCCATTATCCAACTAGATAAAAAAGTAGAAATATCTTTCACATTTCTTATAATAGTATTCATTATTTTTGCAATTAAAATAATTAAATGAACTTTAAATTTACTACAAGCAAGAGTGTAAACAAGGAAGTCATAACCTATTCAAATAATTCAAGAAATGGTTAGGATGCTACTTGTAATCACATGTCAAGATACAAAAATATAGTGATTAATCAATAAATTACAATTGAAATTATAATATCAGCTATTTTAAAAATTTTTTAATTGAATATCATTTTTTTAAATCAAACTTGCCGAATAAAATTGAATTAAAAGACCTTGATATTCTAATATATATGCATCAAATTGAGTATAATATTCCTCTTTAAATAGATAATGTCAAAGATAGGTGGATGAAAAATGTCAAGATCATACAATATTTAACAGAAGTGTGAGGACATTGATTAGTAATCGAGAGGATCTTGTGCTTTTTCTGCTGTCTCCAAAAGTATGACTTTCTGGCTCTGTCGAAGACTCCTGCATTCCCACCCGCGAAAGGGAAAAAGAAAGATTGTATGAAGTGTGAATGTTTGATTATCCATAAGCAGGGATAGTGAAAAATATCGATTTGATTTTTAAAAATATCGATCGATATGGCAAAAAAATATCAATTTATATCGATTTTACATTGAATTGACCAACTTGTATCGATTATTGCACCTACTAGCCATCAAAATACAGGGGTGGAAAACATGACTAAGATGTTTCATGAAACCAAGGATTGAGTTGATTTATTGATCATAGCATATAATCGTAAGAGCATGAAGTAATTCTTTGCTAGGATTTTGTCCACTATAACCTAGAACAATATCAGTAATGTATTGACAAGAATATATTTCATTGAATTTTTTTTTTTAAAAAAAAAAAAAAAATTTATACTATTACGATTTCTTAAAAATAATATTCATTATTTTTCTAAAATAATTTCTACTTATAAAACTCTCCTACTACTATAAGGGTCACTTCAATACCAATTTCTTTTCTACACTCGATACAAAATACATCATATGACATTAAATTAGCAATTCTTGAATGTGTGCCAGGTTGATGGCGCAATAACCAGCCACAATAATCTCTTTAATTTCAGTATGTACTGTACAGTTCATTCGTAAAATTTCTGTTTCAATGAAATCTTCCACCATGTGTTTCATCAATCGTCTTGTACTTTTAACGTTTTCTATTTTCTTTTATGAATTGAAGACATAACAGAAATAATATAATTTTGAAAATTTTAAGTTCGTTCATTATAAAAAAATACATTATAAAGGAAGTTGACATATTTAATATGTAAGTAAAGTATATTACAGTAATTTCGGAAGTATGTAATCTTAACAAAACTTATAAAATTTAGTTTTAAAGGTCAATCGTTTTTAACATTAAGGAACATTACTATTACTGTATTATTCTTTTTTAAGATACAATTTAGTGTTGATTATGAGAATTATTTTTTATAAACTATACAGTACATATTTATTTGAGATTTATATTTATACTTTTAAAGCCAATGTTTTTTTTATACGCGTATTATATTAGGAACTTGACATTCTTGTCGGTAAAAATTTTGAAAATTATAATTTATAAACATCATAAAATAAAGAATACGAGTATTTTTTGAATTCAATCCAAAAATATTAGAAGCTAAAGACTATGAAAAAAATGAAGGGAATCGTGTTTTTTTGAAATAACAAGGATATGATTCGAGAGAAATAACGTTAAAAAACGGTGTTTTCGTTCTATTAAATTTATAATTTTTATTATTGTTATTGGAATTTTTTAATTGATGCAAATTATTTAAACTGATGAATGCGCCACCAACCTGGTACACATTCAAGGATTACACTAAATTAAAAGTTAAGTTTGAAATGCAACATACTCTGATTAGGCATTTGAGATCGAAAATTTTATTTTTTTTCTTTATATTCCCCTGGATCCCACACGGAACCGGAATTAAATATATATTGCTTTCCAATGTTTAACTTAGATACAATGTTAAAAAGGCGTTATGAAAATTTGCATTATTAATTTAATTAGCATATTGGTAATTCTTGTTCAATTTTTAGAATCAAATTTATATTTTTATTAAGTAAATATAATATAAAATATTTCAAAGGATATTCGAGACAGAAATTCAAAAAAAGATGATAAATTAATTTACTCCCAAGTGTTGAAAAGGAACTGGAATTTTTTTTTTTTTTTGTTCTTCGAGAATATGATCAATAATTTATATTCACATAAAATTTTAACATTCTTAATAAAAAAAAAAACACAAATTTCCTACGAGAGCACAATCATAAATTTTATGTCCTTAGTTCTCAAAAGAGAACATGATTTTAAATGCAGTACTTTTAAATTTTTTGAATTTTCTTGAGAATTTCAGAACATTGGATCCTAACACTGCTTCCAAGAAGCAAACCACCAAAACGATAATTATATAGTCCAAAATTATAGGTGATAGATTTATCACTGTAATATAATGGATTAAAATATCGCGCAACCTTTGATAACTAAGAAGAAATTCTTCCTCAATGCATGTTACATAAATACATTTTATACTATTTTTAACTTTGAGAATTTATTCGAAATTTCAATTGTACTCATCGGTTTACTAATATATTCAGAAAATTTTTGTGTATTGTATAGCTTGCTACTATAAACATCTTGAGAATAAATTTGTTTGACCGACTCTGGTTTAGTCTTATTGGCTTAATAATTTATCTCAACAAGTTACTTCAATTGAAAATAATTTATCTCGACAAACTACTCCGATTGAAAATAATTTATCTTAACAAACTACTCCAATTGAAAATAATTTATCTCGACAAACTACTCCAATTGAAAATAATTTATTCAACAAACTACTTCAAAAAGAAAAGCTGAAAAGCAAATTCAAATAAATAGTGTTATACGACACTTCCTATGTAAGCACCTGACGTTTTTCATATACATTATTCGTCACTTTCAAATCATTGATACACAAATTTTTGCTCACTTTATATTTGATGATACACAAATTTTTGTCACTTTATATTTAAACAGCAAATAAATTCTCAATAAGCTAAGTACATATAAATTTATTGATAAATTTAAAAATACATCAGATGAAATCTAATTAATTTTAAATTTATATTTAGATCGTAGCTTCGGGGGAGTTGAATGACAATGTTATTAACACTTGATAATGGTTTTCTACGTTTTCTGTACAATTCAAGCATTGGAGAATTAGATGAATATGGTGGTTTAAAGGGTGCAGTTATGGATGAAGTAGGATATGGAGCATTTTTAACGTGTGGCTTTATCCTAGGTATTCTTGAAACTTGACTCGCTATTTGATATATATGTGCATAAAAGTAAAAAAAATTGATAGTAATTTAAGCAAGAATAAAAAAAAAAGTTATGCAAATAAAAATTTTTGCTTACATTTTTTAATTTCTTCTGCGGTAAAATCAGAATGTACAATTGTATCATTTTAAGATTGAGTTAATGATAAAATTTCTTTAGTTATATTTGAAGATTGAATATTTGTAGCTGATGATTGAGTTTCGGTTAAATTTGATGCTTGAATTTTTTGAGTTGTAGAATTTGATTGAATTGAACCTTTATTTATATATGCGAAAAAAAAAAAAATCAAATACTTAAAATCTTACTAATAAAAAATTTCTATTGAGCAAAATTCTTACCATAATGTGCGTTATCAGAATCCAATTCTTTATCTGAGTGCCCACTATAAAAATTGTTATAGTTATATTCATCCAAGTCAAATTCTTGTGGCGAATATGGAATTAATATTGCTATATTTATTAAATGTTGATCATTACTAGTTTTGCAGTAATCTGCTAAACTTTCACGGGATCAATATCCAGAGAATGCTTGAAGCTCTGATTTGGGAACTCCATTATTCTTTAAAAGTTGAATTGCTGTATGACGACAAGAGTGATTGGTAATTAACTGTTGTTATCAAGATTGATTCCAGTATTCTTTGCAATATCATTTAACATTTTTCTAAGTTTTGTGTAACCTATCCGGTTACTCTTAAACCAGTGACCCTTTCTTAAATCTAGTATTAAAAAAATTATTATTATATGTATATAGCCTAATAATTATGCATGCATATGTATTTACCTTGTTGCCTTTTACAGGTTTTATGAAATAATGGATCCTCCAATAAAGTTGAATCAGGTAGTTTAGATAAATATAGGAGAATATTTTTGACCAGGGTATATTGATTGTTAGGTGAGTCAGGAGGTATGGAAATATGCCGTGAACCAGTTTTTTCATGCTTGTTTCGATAAAAAGCTCCTCCCTGATTATTCTTTTCCTTATTTAGAATAAGTTCCAATCTACCATCAAGATGACATTGAAGTTTATTCCTATTAATACGATATGCATCACCACCTCATAATCCGCATAATAAGCACAACCAAAAGAAGACACGATGGCATAGAGATTCATTTGAATTGACATCTATGTATGGGTGAGTAAGTATCTGTTCAAATTCTTCAGAAGTTAATCTATCTGATTTTTTTGGATCAACAAGTCTTTTATTTTGTAAAATTCTTATTTTTCCGTCCAGCGTACGAAGAGCACAGGGAAATTTATAACAATCCCAAATTTTTATTGATAGAATAATACCATGTTTTTTGAGATATCAGTTAATAGCACTATAACAATTGTGATCTGACTCCACCTTATAATCAGAACCATCCTCTTTCTTTAACCATGTTATGAATTGACACAAGTAGGTTTCAAGTTCACCAATATTATCGATTAATTCGATAGTTTGAGTTTTACCACAACTTTATTAAATCGGTTTAGTGTTCTAATCCACTTTGTCATATTTTTTTCAGTATTCATTATGAGCAATGCATCTTGTAATTGGTTTATTTCATCTTGCATTGAAAGTTGCGAAGCCAAATTAAAATTTATTTATTTTTTTTTAATACAATGCAAGTTCAGTTTTTCATAAGTATAGGAAAGAATTCAATGAAGAAAGTAAACGAAGTATGTGATTAAAAAGTATTTATAATATATATATATATAAATATATATATTTTACACAATACGAATCCCGGTTCTGTTAAATGTGGGATAGAATTTTGGAAAAGAAAGTGAGCGAAAATGTAAACAATGATTAGAAAGTGATCATATATATATGAAAAAGGTCGGTGCTTACGTCAGAAGCATCGGATAACCGTGTTATCAGTTAAATTGCAAACGACAAATCTGATTATCGTCGGGATTTATAACGCGGAGCCCGTGCCGCGAAGCGGCACGTGCTCCGCATTATATCCCAACGATAATCAGTTATCGTCTACAACATAACCGATAACAAGTACTTATTGATCCCCGCAAACTTGAAGATCAAAATTATTCGTATGATAAAAAGTCAGATATATATAGTATTGGTGTGCTGATGTGGGAAATCTCCAGTGATGGACGTGTCCCATTTACAGCCGTTTTCAAAAATTTGTGGAAGACGCAGATCACTATACCATGGGGAATTCACGATTTTTCCCAGATTTCCAGAGTCTTTAAGACCGTTATAATCGGATTTTTAATTTTTACTAAACAGAATTTCCACATTCTTCGATTCCCCGCATGGGTATATGGAAATCGTTTCCACATCTTTTTGAAAACAGCTGTAATCAATATTACTTTTATGATCTCCCACTTAAAATTATTCAAGGTACACGTGAAAAACCTATCGCAGGGACGCCCAAACAATATATTGATCTTTATTCGAAATGTTGGGATTATGAACCAAATGTGCGTCCTTTAATGACTCAAATTTTTCAACAATTAAATTCCTTGGAATTGAATCCTAAATTTGAAGGTACTAATTTAGGATTTCCTTTAAAAAATGTCAGCTCTAAAAATAATGACAAAAATTCATATTTAATTTTTTTTGACTTTTTAATATACTGTATATACTATATATGTATAGTATTTGTTTATATAATAATTTAATACGAGTACTTGTTTATATGATAATTTAATACGAGTACTTGTTTATATAATAATTTAATACGAGTACTTGTTTATATAATAATTTAATACGGTTAGACCTTCTTAAATGCGTGCGCATTTATTTAGTAAACATATAGAGCAAGAATACAAAATATACTGCGTATTTAGGGATAATTACATAGAATATACATTTATAGATTTGCATTTAAGGAGGTCTGATTGTATTAATTTTAAGGAACAAATTAGTTTCAATAAACTATGTTTAGGATATCTATATAAATATACAGAAATAAATAAAATCGAATTTATATTATATATTTTTTCATAAATTTTGGACGCTTTAAAATTTTTGATGACTGAATCGATAAGATTGCCGAGTCTACAATTTACCGAATTGAAATCGGAAAACCTTCAGTTGATCCATAACTTATAAACAAAGTAGTTTCAGATAATATATTTAACGAAATAAAATAAGAGCATTAAAAAATGAAATAAACTTTTAAATAGCTTATTTTAAGAGAAATACGCTTAACTTTAAAATCTCATTTGTTTATAATTAACCATTTAGCATTCCTATGTTAAAATTTCAATTTCTCTTTATCTGTTACTAGAAATTTGCTTATGCACCACCTAGATTTAGCTAATAATCAGATATTTTCTTTATTAATTCGCTTCATATTTTGCTTCATACTTCATTTATAGTTTGCTTTATACTTTGTTTTATATTTCGCTTTATACTTTGTTTTATATTTTGCTTTATACTTTGCTTTATCATTCGCTTCATGCTTCGTTTTATATTTTGCTTTATCATTTACTTCATGCTTCGTTTTATATTTTGCTTCACATTTCACTTTTTACATTGCTTTATAATTCGCTTCATACTCCGTTTTATTTTTGCTTTCCATTTCACTTCATATTTCACTTCATATTTCACTTCATATTTCACTTCATATTTCACTTCATATTTCGCTTCATATTTCATTTCATATTTCACATTATATTTCACATTATATTTAACATTATATTTTGCTTCATATTGCTTCATATTTTGCTTCATATTGCTTCATATTTTGCTTCATATTCGCTTTATAATTTGCTTCATATTCGCTTTACATTTCGCTTAATATGAAAAAAAAACCAATAATAATAATGATGATAATGCAAACCGATTCGTTCAACTTGTCTGATTTACCTACCCCACTCCAGAAAATACTTCTATCTAATAATACTTATAAAATAAAAATTATAATGAACTTGAACTAATGGTTAAATCTGAAAAATAGATCTTAACAGCAAAGAAGGTGCTTTAAATTGGTTAAGCGAACTTCTGGAAATGTCAAAGACCACTATGCGGCTAAGAAAGATCACTAAAAAAGCTGAATCTTTATATTGAAAAAACTGGCTGCTTATCTCTATCAACAAAATTCTACCGTAATTGATAAAGGCTGAATCATTACGAAGTGGAGCAAAAATTCGAGTACAAAAATTGAAGTGTAAGATGTCAACCCGACAATACAGATAACATTTTTAAAGGGATTTACAGCTGTTCTCATAAATTCTGGGACACCTAAAAATTTTCTCGTCTCCCGAAACCTCTTCGATCTTGTT